CTGAGCAGAGCACGTCATCCAGGCTCATCCGGAAGCACAAGCGCCGGAGGAGGAAGCAGCGCCTGCGGCAGGCCGACCGGGTACGGGCCGGGCGGGGCGGGGCGGGGTCTGGGGGGGTGAAGGCAGCTTCAGGCAGCCCTGTGCCCCTCACGCTCCCCGCTCCCGTCCACAGGCCTCCTCCTTCAGCAGCATTACGGACTCCACCATGTCTCTCAACATCGTCACCGTCACACTCAACATGGGTGAGGCCTCGGGACGAGCGCTGGGGGCGGGGCGGGGTCTTGGCCACGGCTCACTGCCTTTCCCGCAGAGAGACACCACTTCCTGGGCATCAGCATCGTGGGGCAGAGCAATGATCGTGGAGATGGCGGCATTTACATAGGCTCCATCATGAAGGGCGGGGCCGTGGCCGCTGACGGCCGCATTGAGCCCGGGGACATGCTGCTGCAGGTGGGTCTGCAGGGGCTGCAGGGAGACGGGAGGCCGAGGGTGGGGCTGCGGGGGCTGTGGGCCGAGCTCACACCCTGCCTGCACCACCCTAATCCCCACCCCCGCAGGTCAATGACGTGAACTTCGAGAACATGAGCAACGACGACGCTGTCCGGGTTCTGCGGGAGATCGTGTCCCAGACGGGGTGAGGGCCGGGGTGCTGGAGTGGGAGGGGCGGGCAGGGACGCGGGACCGTGACACCCTTGCTGTGTGACCACCACTCCTGCAGGCCCATCAGCCTTACCGTGGCCAAGTGCTGGGACCCAACGCCCCGAAGCTACTTCACCGTCCCAAGGGGTGAGTGGCTCTTGGAGTACACGGGGCAGGGTGGGTATGGGGCGCCTGCCCAGCCTGAAGGCCTCTCTCCTCTGCCCTGTGCTCTGCCCTCCCACCCCGTCTGTCTGTCCGCCTGTCATCGCCACGCGGTGGCCACCCAGCTGACCCGGTGCGGCCCATCGACCCTGCCGCCTGGCTGTCCCACACGGCGGCACTGACGGGAGCCCTGCCCCGCTACGGTACGAGCCCCTGCTCCAGCGCCGTCACGCGCACCAGCTCCTCCTCACTAACCAGCTCCGTGCCTGGCGCTCCGCGTAAGTGGCAGCTCCCGAGGGGCCCAGCAGAAACTGAGGTGGAGGGCGAGGCTCTGCCAGCCTCCACCATGGCGTCCTGGGCTGTCCCGGGGCCGTCCCGGGGCCTGTCCCTGACACCCTGCACAGATGTGTGTGCGCAGACACCCGTGCCCAACTTGCGCAGCCCCCGCTTCACCATCTGTGTGTTGGGAGCAGGGGGATGTCTGTAGGTCCCTGTGAGGGGCGCACCCAGGGGGTCAGAGGCAGCGCCCGGTCTCCAGTCTGCTTCCTGCCACTAACACGACTAACAGTCTGTGCTTTCATGGGTGGGCATGCAGGGAGGGGAAGGGGCCTGCCCCGTTCTCATTATGCCCTGGTCTGCAGGGAGGGGTGTTCTCAGTCCAGTTTGCGCCTGGGATCCTGATGAGAAGTGTCTGCAGGAGTGGGAGACAAATGTCCAATTCCCCTGCCCACATCCCAGCCTCATGGGGGTCCACCCTGTGAGGGGCAGGGCCTTGCTGTCACGCACGCTCCAGCCTGGGCTGTCGCAGCCTCTGCCCAGAGGCTACCCTGGGCGTGCAGGGCCCTGGTCCAGCAGCCTGTCTGCACTGGGGCTGAGGAGGCTGTGCCTTGCAGAGCTGGAGGAGGCGCCGCTGACGGTGAAGAGTGACATGGGTGCGGTCGTGCGGGCCATGCAGCTGCCGGACTCGGGGCTGGAGATTCGTGATCGCATGTGGCTCAAGATCACCATCGCCAACGCCGTCATCGGTGAGCGGCCGTCCCCACGGGCCGACGGCGCCAGGGGTGGGGATGCGCACCTCGGGGCTTCGGGCTGACCGCTGGTGCTGGCCAGGAGCGGACGTGGTGGACTGGCTGTACACGCACGTGGAGGGCTTCAAGGAGCGGCGGGAGGCCCGGAAGTACGCCAGCAGCTTGCTCAAGCACGGCTTCCTGCGGCACACGGTCAACAAGATCACCTTCTCCGAGCAGTGCTACTACGTCTTCGGGGACCTGTGTAGCAGTGAGTGGGGGCTTCGGGATGGAGGGGGGCCTCGGCCCCTGCGAGGCCCTCACACACCCTCCTTCGCCAGATCTCGCGGCCCTGAACCTCAACAGTGGCTCCAGCGGGGCCTCGGATCAGGACACGCTGGCCCCGCTGCCCCACCCGACCGCCCCCTGGCCCCTGGGTCAGGGCTACCCCTACCAGTACCCGGGGCCCCCGCCCTGCTTCCCACCTGCCTACCAGGACCCGGGCTTTAGCTATGGCAGCGGCAGCACTGGGAGTCAGCAGAGTGAAGGTGAGAGCCCCGCCCCTGCCCTGCCCTCTCCTGACCCACCCTGGCTCTGCCCCCAGCTCTGCCCCAGCCCACTGCTGCTCTGCCCCTGGCTATGCCCTGCTTCCCAGCTCTGCCCCACTTCACTGCTGTCCCGCACCCCATGCTCCTGCTGTGTGCTTGGGCCCTGGGTGAGCTCTTTCTGGAAGGGGCAAGTGCCAGGGGAACCAGGGAGCCAGTGTGAAAGGGGAGGGACAGGGAAGTGTCTCACACAGGGGCAGCCTGGACCCCACCTCATCTGGGTGGGGTTGGGAAGGGGTCCTCCGGGAGCCTGGAGGCCTGGGTGACTGCTGGACACGAGTGGCAACTGGTGCTCTTCCCGTGGTAGAGGCAGGAGGAGGCCACGTGGACAAAGGCTGTGTGCCAAGGACAGGGCGGGGTGGCCACGGTCAGGCAGGGTCACTTTCCAGGCCTCAGGACACAGGAGGGTGGCAGCTGCAGCCCGGGCGGGCGCCCGACGTGGACAGTGCCATGCACAGCCGCACGCTCGTGCCTGGGATGTGCGGGGGGGCTGGAGGATCCAGGGCGTCCCTTAGGGGTGGCCTGGTGGATCAGAGGCCCTGGTGGGTGGGGTTGGCGAGGCCAGTAGGGTTTCTGCAGGCCAGGACCGGGTGCAGGTGGCGGCCCGGAGGGCCTAGGAAGGACGGAGAGAGAGGAAAGGCCGCTAGAGGGTGTGGGGCCGCAGAGAAGCCGCGCTGGTGTCTGCTGACCCTGGACTGGCCCTTGCACCCACTTAAGCCCCACCCAGCCCACAATCAGGCCCCACTGGTGGCGGGTGGGTGCCGGGTGGGTGCCGGGCGGCGGGCGTGTAACTCGTGCTATCCCTTGCCTTGTGCTGAGCAAGCCTTAGACTGAAGGACTAGCAGAGTGGAGCCTTGGGCCGGTAAGCCAGGGTCCCTCCCAGCGCCCTCCTCAGCATGTCCCCATCTGGCCACATCCTCTGGCTCCCACTGCGTGTCGGGAGCCTGGGACGGGGCTGAGCTGAGTAGTCTGTCGGCCAGGGCCCTGGGTCGGGGGGACAGCGGGGCCTCGGGTGGGGAATCCAGGATGGCCGTGGGGCACTGGGCACAGGGGGCCCTCACTGGCACCTCAGCCTTTCAGCCGCAAGACCGGGCCCTCAACTCAAGCATCAGGGTGAGGCGTGGGGGTGCCCAGCTCACTCCAGAACCCCGCCTGCCTGCCACTGCCCCCACCAGCCCATGCCTGCTGCAGCTGCCCCTGCGACCCTGGGGGTGCTGCCCTGTCCTCGCACCTGCTTGGCTGTCCCACCTACCCGGCCTGCTCGGGCCACCGCTCCTGCCCAGTCACCTGGCGGGATGGTGGTTCTGGATGTGACTGAGCCTGGCGCTGACGGCCGCCTCCCCCTCCTGTTCTCACCCCCAGGAAGCAGGAGTAGCGGGTCCACCCGGAGCAGCCGCCGGGCACCAGGCCGTGAGAAGGAGCGGCGGGCGGCGGGAGCTGGGGGCAGCGGCAGCGAATCGGACCACACGGCACCGAGCGGGGTGGGCAGCAGCTGGCGGGAGTGTCCAGCTGGCCAGCTCAGCCGCGGAAGCAGCCCACGCAGTCAGGCTTCAGCCACTGCCCCGGGGCTTCCCACACCCCACCCCGTGACCAAAGCCTATACGGTGGTCGGGGGCCCACCCGGGGGACCCCCTGTCCGGGAGCTGGCTGCCGTCCCCCCAGAATTGACAGGCAGCCGCCAGTCCTTCCAAAAGGCCATGGGGAATCCCTGCGAGTTCTTCGTGGACATCATGTGATCTGTGGTGCGTGGCCACAATCCTGCCTGAGGCAGGGAGCCGTCGATCCTGGTGCACGCAGCGCTTGAGAGGGCTTGCCTTAGTAGGGGCAGGGTGGGGGGCAGGGTGGGCCATCGCAGTCATCTGCCTGCAGCCCGGCTGCTCCGACCCCTGGAAGCAGCTGTGTCTGAGCCGCCGCGTTGGGGTGCTCCCTCTCTGCTCCTCAGTGAGAGCCTCAGGGACCTCCCAACCCCTCGTGTCTGGTGGTGATCCCTCCTAGGACGAGGAAGACCCCTTGGGCTCTGGGCTGACCCCCACCTCCTGCACAGCCGTGCACAGGCCCCCTGAGTGACCCATGAGGTGCAGCCCTGCAGTGCACAGGCCCATCCCTCCGACCCTGACAGGGCCTCCTGCGGGTGAAGCAGAGCCCCCAGGTCCCTCCTGCTCTCCGGTAGGGACCTAATTTATTTATTTATTGCCTGGCTGATGCCTCAGCGGAAGAGGTGGCCCTCCTAGCCGTCCCACCCGCCCCCACCCTTTGGAGCAGCCTGCACCTTCCCACCTCTCCTTCAGCCACACAGTCAAGTCTGAATGTGTGGAGGACGGGACAGGAACACAAGAGAGGGCTAGACATCCTGCCCACTGCTTCCCAGCCAGGGCAGAGATGGGCTGTGGTCCTCGGGGTCCAGGGGCCCTGATGTGCACAGCTGCCGCAGGGAGGGAGATCTTGGGGAGGTGAGTGGTCAGCTGGCCCATCCTTGGTGAACGCACACACACTGCCCGCACACACCGCGGCCCGCACACACTGTGGCCTTCCTGGCGTCTCTGGCCCCCCGTGTCTGCGCTGTAGGTAATGTATCAAAGTCGCTGCGTCTGTGTAAATGCTGCTTATTTTAAACACTAAAAAGCGTTTAATTTTATGGGATGGACGTGTGGCCTGTGCCCCTTCTGTCTGGCTGGGCTGTCTTGGAATGAGGCGTGGGGGACTGGTCAGGCCTCCACGAGGCCCGGCTGGGAGCTGACCCTGGGACTCTGACCTGAGACCCTGCGTGGGCCTGGGGGGTGGCTGATCTCGGACCCCGGTGTGCAGTTTTCTGTCCATGGTGCTGGCTCCTGGTCCCTGCCCACACCCCACCTGGGTTCTGTCCCTAGTTCTGGTGAGTCATGACACTATCCACTGGGCCAGGGGCAGAGAAGGAAGCCAGGTGCCACTCCCACCTGGGGGTGGGGTCTGCCCTGTGTGAACGCCTGTGTCCCCACACCCAGCCTCCAAATACTCTGGTGTCTGGGCCTGATGCTGGGTGGGTGGGGCCCCCCCAAGAGGCATGGTCAGGTTGGTAGGGCTTGGCATGGACTTCCAGCCATCTGACTAGGGGCCTTCCTGCGTCTTTTTCCTGAGCTCACAGGGTGGATTTCGGGGATGCTGGAAGCCCTCCAGGCATCCTGGAACAGTGGGGCTGGGTCACCTGGGAAGGCCTGGTCTGGGTGGAGAGGGACAGGGACAGAGCTCAGCTCTGGGGCCCAGATGGTCACAGGGGCGTCCACATGCTGCAGGCCCAGGGATCACTGTGGGGTCAGGGTCAGGCAGCAACCCAGAGTCAGAATCTAGAGCTCGAGAGTCTCTGTAGGGCACACTGGTCATTGCTGGCTTAGGGGACATCTCAACTAGTTCCGGGTTCACCAGGGCTGAGGTCAAAGGGTCAGAGTCACTCATTTTTTTCCCTGAGCTTCCTCTGTCTCCACCACCATTCCCACCTTGGGCATCTGGGCCCCTCCCAGGAAGAACTCGGGGGTGTTGAGCCCCGGCTGCCACAGGAGCAGGTAACATCTTGGCAGGTGGAAGGCAGTCAGGATGCCCAGGGTGCAAAGCAGGAAGGCGCCCATCTGCATGGCGGGCCTGAGGGCCACCTGCACATTGGCCAGGAGGGGCACGAAGGAGACCCAGATGATGAAATAGGCCAGCATGGCGAAGGTGAGGCCACGGGCACGGTTGTAGCGGCCGGGCTGGCTCTGCACCAGGAAGGTGCCCAGGAAGCACAGGAAGGCCAGTATGGCGTTGGTGGCGTGCACCAGGCCGAAGCTGACCCAGGATCGTGTGCGACAGTGCACCAGTGCCTCCGTGGGCAGCACGCGCCAGTCCGTCACCACCTCTGGTGGGAAGGCCAGCAGGTACCAGGCGCATAGCGCGGCCTCCACCAGCATGGCCAGCAGCACCACCAGCCAGGCCCAGGGCCCCTGCAGGCAGCCCCGCAGCCGGTCTGCCCAGCTCTGAGGCAGCTCCGACTCCACGAAGGTCTCGGCCGCCTGCAGGAAGAGCGTGCTCAGGCAGCCCGTGAGCGGGAGGTGGGATAAGGGCTGCTGGGCCAGGCAGCGGGCAGGGCTGGGCTGCCCAGGGAACAGGAGGACGCTAAGGCACACCAGGCCCAGACAGACCAGGCCGAAGCAGGCCAGGGCCCCCCCCCGAGGCCTGAACTAGTGGGCTGTCCCGATGGCGAATGAACAGCCCCAGGGCGGCCAGCACAAGCCCCAGTGCCAGGCCCAGCAGCAGGAGCAGCAGCAGCACAGCCGGCTCGCCCCACGTCAGGAACCGAGGCCTGCGGCGGAAGCAGCGTGTGCTCCGCTCCGGGGACCACTGGTCGTGGCGGCAAGGGGTGCAGGTGGGGTCGTCTGTGGGAGAAGAGGAGAAGGGGGCTGGCGGCTGGCCTCGCCCTGCCTGCCCTGTGCGCTCTGGCCTCCGAGCCAGGACTCGGCAGGACCCCCCCGTGCTGCACTCTGCCCATCCCTGCTGGGAAGGCGGCTCACCTGGGTTGCGTCGGTAGCTGCCTGCCTCACAGTCTACGCAGTCGTAGCAGCAGGAGTGGAAGCCCTTGACCCGGCGCACCTGGCCCTCCTGGCACTGCCTCGAGCACTGGGACACGGGCTCCTGGGCACAGGCCTGGGGTCTGGCTCCGCCCGGTTGGGCACGCCCACCGGAGACTGGGACGACCCCCACCCCCAGGCTGCGCCCTGCCGTGGAGGCTGCCCCGGGGCACGGCCAGCACGCCCAGCACGCCCACCCTCACCTGGTTGTCGGGTGTGTGCCAGCGCATCTTGAGGCGCTCCGGCCAGAGGCTGCCATTGAAGATGCCCACGTCGTGCAGCTCGGGCACTGGGCCTCGCCACACCCACAACTTCAGGTCGTACTCCATGTCCACGTTCCCGCTGCTGTCGAAACGCAGCACCAGCCCGGCCACGCGGAAAGTCATGTTGTACATGTTCTGCAGGAGCTGTGGGCGGGGGACGGGGCTGAGCCACCAGCCACCTCCAGCCCAGACACCGTGGCCCTACCCGGTGGCCGGGCACGTGCAGAGGTCGGCACAGCCCCCTCTCCCGGGCCCACCTGCCAGGGCTTCACGGGGTCCTGCATCGGGCAGCCCGAGGCGTTGCAGCGCAGAGTGTTGTGCAGGCCCTGGGCCACGCTGTACACGGCTGCGTAGACGGAGAACGTCTGGTGGTGCTGCAGCTTGGCAGACACGTTCTGCAGCGTGACATCGTCACACTGCGGGCAGCGTGGGCCCACCACGTGCTCCTCCAGGCCCTGCTCCCTCTCGCCCAGCGAGGCGCAGAAAGCCGGGTCAGCGGCCAGGGCCAGGTGCGTCTTCACGTACTGGGAGAACTTGGGCAGCTGGGCACCCCTCTGCAGGAAGCCAAGCACCGTGCCCACCTCGGCCATGCCGGGCAGCCCCATGACCAGGTCGGAGGTCAGCCAGGCCTCGCTGGCCACCCACACCTTGGGCGAGAGCCTGCGGCTGATGCCGTAGCTGAAGAAGGCCTGGGCGGCACGCACGGAGGCAAACAGCAGCACCACCTGTATGCTGCTCTGGTTCACCTGGGGCAGCAGCTCCTGCACCTTGCTCACCCACGGGCTATCGGCATGGGGCAGCGGCACCAGGCCCTCGTGTGCGATGCAGATGCCGCGTGCCGCGGCCAGGCCCGAGAAGATGCTCAGGCCCTGCCGGCCGTACTCATCGTCGCTGCCCAGGGCGGCCACCCAGTTCCAGCCGAGCTGCTGCAGCAGCTCCACGGTGGCCACCAGCTGCACACGGTCACTGGGCACCGTGCGGAAGAAGGAGGGGAAGGTCTCCCGGGTGCTCAGCAGGTCCATGCTAGCCCCGTAGCTGACCTGCGGGGGCCGAGAGGCATCTCCTGACACAGGGGCTCCCGGGGGAAGGGCTGGGTGGGGGGCAATGGCGGGGGGCGCCCACCTGGGGCATGAGGAAGAAGCCAAAGAACTTCCCCGTGACCAGGGCGAGCTCTGAGGAGTGGGGCCCGATGACGGCTAGCACGCGGGGCTGGTACTGCGTGTAGTTGCAGTAGGCGGCGATGTCGTGGCTGTTCGCCTTGGCCAGGAACATGAGGCTGGGCTTCATGGTGACCGTGGGCTCCGAGCACGTGTCAAAGAGGTCGTAGCCCAGGCGCAGCCCCGGCAGCAGGTCCGACCGGTTGTTGATCTCCTCCACTGCCATCTTCATGGCCAGCGCCCAGAGCAGGCCGTTCCAGGAGAACCTGGGGCCACATGGAGCTGCAGGCGGCACCCCAGGCCTGCTCACCCTGACCCCCGTCCCGGGCCATCCCACCTCCGTACCTGGTGCACACGAGGCTGTTGGGCCGCGTCCGGCTGTGGAGGGCAGTCTCCCCGGCCTCGCCTAGGGGGAACAGCCCCCCCAGCACGTAGTCCCCCTTCATCTTCAGTTGCTGTGACAGGCACAGTGGGGCCCCTGTCCTAAGGTGCAGGAGCGCCCAGAGGCCGAGGCCCAGGACAGCGGAGCCCAGCATGGCAGGGGCAGCTTCCAGCAGGCACGGCAGGTGGCTGCCCCGAGTGGCGCCTTATATGCAGTGAGACCGGGCCGGGGGGCAGGCAGAGGATTTGTTTAGCAAAACCCTTGCTTTCCTTACCTGCCACGCCCTGGGGCCCCAGTGGCAGTCCTTGCTTTCCAGGCCTGAAAGTGTGTGTGCCTCAGACTCTTCCTGAGGCCACTGCCAGGCTCTGTGGCCAACACCGATCTGCAGGCAGACTGTGCTGACCACTGGCCGTGGCCTTGTTCCCTGCCTGTGCCCGAGCCCCTCAGCACCCCCCATTTCTGGAGTTGCCTGGCAGGCTGTGGCAAGCAGCAGGGGCAGGGGGCCTGTAGGGCTCAGCTGCCATGGGAGGGATGCAGAGACACCCAGCTCTGGGCTTTTCACAGGCACGGAAACACCTCCTACCCAGCCCTGCGGGCTTCAGGCTTCCAACTCAAGGCTGTGCTGTCAGGAGTCGGGGGCTGCAGACCAGCCAGGCCTCCACGCTGCAGCTGGGTGGGGAGGGCCCTGCGGTGGCGGTGGTGACCTCACAGCCTGCTTTGGAGCAGCGTTCCTTGAGGGTCTCGGCTCTTCTGCTGGGGTCTGACGCCTGGAAGCTGTAGGAGCTGCATGGCCAGCTGTCCTCATGCTGCTGACCCCAGCCTGGGCCTCTCCTGCCCGGCAGGCACACAGGTGGTTCCTGCTGGGGATGCAGCTCAAGGCTGGGCCTGAAGGAGGGGGCCACGCAAATGAGGGAGGAAGGGCCACAGGCACACAAGTGGCAGCTGGAGCGGAACGAGGTGTACGGTGGGGCTCCACCTCACCTCCTGCTCCTCAGTGCAGGGGGCTCCTCCTCTGCCTCACTTTGGGGGTGCCCTTGGGGACACACCAGGCTCCAGGTGCAGACCCTCCACTGAGGAGAGCTGAGGGGCACCTAACTTCAGCTGGGGCCTGGCAGACCTTGCGGACATTTACCAAGAGTTGCACCCTGGCTGGTGCCTCTTCCCCACAGTGCTGCGAGGGAGGACCCATGAGGCACATGCATGACCACAACACACACAAACCCGGCACACAGGAACACAGGAATGTGGCACACAGGAGCATGGCATGTACATATGGTACACACAACACATGGCGCACAGGAGCATGGCAAGCACAGCACGGCACACAGGAGCACGGCACACGGCACACACGGCACACAGCACAGAGGCGCACGGCACACGAGAACGGCACACGGCACACAGGAACACGGCACACACGACACACGGCACACGGGAGCATGGCATATGGCACAGGAGCACGGCACACAAAAGCACGGCACACATGACACACGGCGCACATGGCACACAAGACACATGAGCATGGCACACGAGCACGGCACATGCACATGGCACACAACACGCATGGCACACAACGCAGGGCACATACGCTCACGGCACACACAAACTTGGCGCACACGCACGGCACATGCACAGAAGGCCACACCCAGAGCTCGGCGCCGGGGCCCATTCTGCAGCCAGCAGCCTTTGCCAACACCACGTGCGGCTCCCACAGACCCTGAGGTTGGGTGGCGTCAAGGAAGACCCCGCCGAACTGCATCCCCTTCCTGTGCAGGCCACTGTTGTGGCTGGGAGCAGCCCCACCTCCACCCGCACATCCCACGCAGGCCTCTCCTCTTCTGCACGGAGACGCCGACCTTCTCTGCCTTCCCAACCCAGCCTCTTGGCTCTGGAGAGGTCTGTGTCTCTGTTGTCTCACCTGTAAAATGGGCACAGTGACAGGGACCTCTCCAGCGCTCTCTGGGGGGGACAGGCACACAGCAGCCCCAGCCCCAAGGCTGGCCTTTTCTCAGGGCAGTTGGGTGCACCTGCCTCAGCTGTGTCCCTGGGGTGAGGCCCCTCCCCACCCTCCCTGGGTGCCCGTGGTCCCCCTGGACAATTGCGCTCAGCACACCCCAAGGTCCACGTGCTGGGATTCTGTGATTTATTAACGTTGGAAGAGATCGCATGGGTGGCACTCCAGAAGCTTGCGTGGTGGGGGCTGTTCCTCTGCCACCCCGAGGCGCTGCAGTCCGCCGTGAAGAGCCAGGAACTGGCTGGTGGCTGGGCTGGGTGTGGCTGGCTGGTAGCCACTGGCCAGGCCATGGGGTCCAGGCCCTCCTGCTCCATGCCCCTTGGGTCTCCTGGGGAGAGGGGGCATCAAGGGGCAGGGCCCCTTGATGGGACACAGTGTTTTGTTGGGAGTAGCAGAGTCCTGGCTCCTGGGGCCTTGGGTGTGCTGTGCAAACCCACGGCAGCTTCGGGAGGGACCCTGCAGGGGCTGCAGGGAGGCTGTCCCAAGGGCAAGGCCTTCTCTGGCCCTTCGGTGAGGAGCCTTGATCTCAGCTCCTGGCCGTCCCACCCCCAGTCTGCCTGGCACGCTGAGGGGCAAACAAGGCAGTGAGAGGTGGGGAGACCCCAAGGGCCCAGACTGCTCACTGCTGGGGGCTTTCTGCTAGCCTGGGCATGGAAGGGGCTGAGGTGCCTGGAGTCAGTGTTGCCCACCTGGGCAGACAAGGGGTCCCAGGCCTGGCCAGTGAGGACCTGAGAGGACGACACACTGGCTGGCAGAGAAAGGATGGAGTCTCCACACTCCGGGACCAGTGACTTCACCCCAGTCTGCAGATCTGCCCCACAGGCTGGGAGGTGGCGACCTTTCCGGCTCTTGCAGGCCCAGCCCCACCCCCACCCCCTCCACTTTCTGCACGCGGCCAGGCCTGGCTGGGCACGTGTGCAACAGGCTGAGGGGGAGCCGTGGCTGAGGCGCCCTGTTCTGGACCGGGAGGGCGGGCCTCTTTGGGCTGGGTGCCACCTTCTCTGCCACAGTCTGTGGCTCCTAACAAGCTCGGCTCACAGGGACAACAGCGGATCTCCTGTTCCTGGGGCCCCCAGAAAGTTCTGCTGTGGGGCTCGCAGCCCAGATCTGCAGCAGGAAAGCCCGCGTGGCCCTGGGTTCCTGCCACTAGGGCAGGTTCAGCAGGGAGTGCTCGGCGTACAGCTTCTGGGAGACATCATAGACGCGCCTGATGAAGGGGAGGGCCTCGCCCAGCATCTGCACGGCCTGCTCCGGGGGCCCCACGTTCATGGCCTCCAGAAAGACCTTGCGTGTGGGCAGGGCACAGAAGGCCACGGTGACGGCGCGGCGCACGATCCAGGGGTGGTGGGCGGCCAGCGAGGCGTTGTAGGAGTCGGTGCAGAGCACGGAGGTGCGCGCGTCCTCGGGGCTGGTGCGCAGGCTCTCCAGGAACAGCTGCAGCCAGTGCAGGGCACGGTGCAGGCGCAGCACGGTGCGGCAGCCGGACTCGGGGTGCTGGGAGCGCCGCTCCAGGTCCACCAGCTGGCTGCCCAGCTCATGGGCCACCATGGCCTGCAGGGTGCAGTAGCACTCGCGCTGCGGGCCGCCCCTGAGGCGCTCCATGATCTGCAGCTTGGAGACCACGTCCTTAGAGATGAACGAGAAGATGGCGCCCAGGCTGTTCAGAAACCTGCGGGAGGGAGCAGGGCTCGAGTCCTCGCCCAGGCCGGGGCAGCCCGCCGGGGTGCAGGGGACGCCGCCCAGCCTTCCGAGGACGTACACCCATCCGGAAACAGGCCGCAAAGCTGGTGATGACAGCCAGCGGGAGGCAAACACCACATGCAGGACTCGGCCAGGTGAGGCCCCGGGGAGCAGGCCCTGCGGACGCACCTGACCAGGCCCTTCCAACTGGCAATGTAGGGGTCCAGCAGAACCTCTTCCTTCTCATTGAGACACTGCTTGAAACTGACCAGGACGACTTTCAGATTGAAACCTGTCTCCGAATCATCCATTTTTTGATAGGAACGGCAATACGGTTGGTCTGGGAAATACAGTCTCACTGGGGTCAGCTTGATCTGTGGCTCATCTTCTCTGCGTGTGGAAGGGAAAGAGAGAGAGCTGCGATCCCACCGAACACTCATGCCCCTTATGGAGCTTCCTCCGAGGAGCCGCCTGGCTCTGCTCCCAGCCAAGCGGCAGGCTCTCAGGCACACCACCCTGACCCACCCTTCATCAGGGCCTCGTACCCACAGTCCTTGGCACGGCCCCTCCTGTGGGTCAGTCCCTGACCCCTCTGGCTTCATCAGACCACTCGATCGTGCCGTCTGCAGTGGGCGTCTCTGCTGATGCTTTCCTGCTTATTTGTTCTTGTTTCTCTCACTAGAGGCTGTATCTGTTTTTGCCAGCCGAAGAAACACTTGCCAAGCCCCTGCCCAGAGCCAAGCACTGTTCTAGGCACCTGGGTGCATGGGGAGTGGGTGGGCATCCATCTGGGGTGGGGTCAGACGGCGACAAAGACAGGAAGTTCCGAGGTCACACGCAAGGAAACAGACACAGCAGAACGCAGAGTGGGGGGGGCAGGGAGTGTGGGGGGGGCTG